TCTCTCTCCCTCCCTCTCTCCCTCCCTTTCTCCTTCTGCCTGTTTGCTATTTAGGCTGATGAAAAATAAATAAAATAGAGATTAGAAAAGTAATAGGGAGTTTAACAAAAATGAAGTTTTGTTTCTTTAAAGATCAAGGAAATTCACAAACTGTTAGCTAGAGCAATTAAGAGAAAAGAATATAAGATTCAAATTACTGAAGTCAAAAATGAAAGAGAAGAAATCATGCTGACTTTAAGGAAATGAAAAAAAGATTATAAGGGAATACACCAATCGTTATTAGGCAACAATTAGGTAACTTATGAAAAGGACAAATTCCTAAAAGACACAAACTACTGAACTGACACAAAAAGAAATAGAAAATAAAAACAGACCTATAAGTAAAGAGATTGAATAACTTTGGAGACAGAGATTAGAATGCTGGAGCCCTAAGTCAAGGAATTCCGGCAACCACCATAAACTGGAAGAGGCAGGGAGTGAATTTACCTCTGGAGTCTCTAAAGCAAGCACGACCCTGTGGATACCTTGACTTGGGCTCAGCAAAACTGATTTTGAACTTTTGGCCTTCAAAAGTATAGGAGCATAACCTCTTGTTATTTTAAGCCACCCGAACTGTGATATTTTATTAGCAGCCATAGGCACACTTTCTCACTCACTGTGTAGAGCCAGCATCACCCTAATAGCAAATTCAGACAAAAGCATGAGGAAAAGAAAACTACAAACCAATATCACTTATTAATGTAGATTTTAAAATACCTCAACAAAATGTTGACAAACTGAAGCCAGGCATATAAAAACACTAATTTAAATTATGGCTCAGGAATGTAAAATAAGATTAGTATCTAACATTAAGGTAGTACATTATATCAATAAAGTAAAAAACAAGAACCACATCTCCATATTCTTAACAGGTGGAGAAAAATAATGTGATGAAATTCAGCACCATTTCATGATTTTAAAAAACCACTAAGAAAAGTAGGCCTAGAGGGGAATTTTCTAAATGATAAAAGCCATCTATGAAGAATCCACAAGTAACGTGTTTAACATAATAATGGCTGAAATTTTAACCTTTAATACCAGAAAAAAGAAAAGTATATATGCCTTTACCGCTTTAATTTAGTATTGAATGGGAAGTTATTGACAAGTTAATAAGAAAAATAAGTAAAATAATAAAATAAAATAAATAAAAGATATACAGATTGGAAAGGATGGAACAAAACTATTCTTATTTGCAGATAACATTATCCATTTTTTTTCTTTTTCAGTATGGAGGATTAAATCCAGGACCTTCGTATTGATCAACATCCCCAGCCCTGTTTTAATACGGCACTCATAGGATAAGTATATATACAGTGCAACAGATTTGATCCAGAAGTAAACTTATTGCTATAGTCAATTTACTTTTGATAAGGGTGCCAAGACAACTCAGTGGGAGAAGAAATAGATTTCAGCAAATGCTTCTAGGATTATTGGATATCTGCATGCAAAAGAAGGCACCTTGATCCCTGCATTACACTACTGTGTACAAAAATTAAATGAAAATGGATCAAAGACCTAAATGTAAGGACTAAAACTATAAAAACTTTAGAAGAAATAGCACGAGTAAAACTTTGTGTTTTATATTAAGTAACTTTTTTATAGATATGATGTCAAAGCACAAGTGACAAAAAAAATAGACAAATTTGACTTCATCATAATGAAAACCTTCTGTACTTCAAAGGAAACCTACAAGAAATTAAAAATAGGGATGGAGGGCAGGGGGGCTATGTCTCAGTAGCATATGTGAAAGACAAGAACCACCCATTTAATGCAGGAAATGTTTGCAAGTCATATATTTGAATATTTCATACTGGAGCATTTATTTGGTCAGGAATGCAAAATTATCTCCCTTAATGCAAAATGAAATGGAAACTGAAGTAAAATATGGGCAAAAGATTTAGACAAATAGATATTTCCAAAAGTATATTAAAATGTGCACATCAGAAAATGCTCAACATTATTAGTCATTAAGGAAATGGAGGTCAAACCCATACTAAGACACCACTTTCAACCCACTGAGATGTTCATTATTTTTTATGAGAAAGGAAAACAGTGAGGATAAGTGCTGGCAGTGAAACCACAACCTTCATACAGCACTGGTTGGATTGTAAAATGGAGCAGTCATTTTGGAAAATAGCTTAACAGTTCTTGAGACTATTAAACCTAGAGTTAACACATGACTCAGAAATCTACTCCCACCTATACACCCAAAAGGACTGAAAACATGTCCATAGAAAAATCTAACCACCAGTGTTCATAGAAGTATTAATCATAACAGCAGAAAAATGAAAGCAACTCAAGTATCTATCAACTGATAGATACATAAAATGTGGTATAACTATATAACAAAATATTACTTTAAAATAGTGGAGAATGAAGCACTGATACTTGCTAAATCATGGATGAACCTTGAACAAGTTATGCTAGGAAGCCACTCAAAGCGTACATATGGCATATGAAATGTCCAGAATGGACAAATTCATTACATTGAAAGTAGATTCACAGTTGCTAAAGATAAAGTAGAATGGGGTGTAACTGCTCATAGACACAAAGTTTGCTTTTACAAAGGTGATGAAGATGTTCTGAAACTAGCAGTGACAATTGCACAACTCTATGACTATATGAACATATTCTACTCACTTATACACTTTAAAATGGTGAATTTTATATTATGTGAACTACCTCTCAATTGCTGTTATACTAGCAGGATGATAATTTGGAGATAATCCTACTGAGGGATATGGACAACAAATTAAGTTTTATAGTATTAGATATCTTGGAAAACAAATTAAAAACCCAGTTCTTCAGAGGTGATCAAAGATTACTAAGAAGAGAAAGAAAAAAAGCAAGATGCCACTCAAATGTCCTTTGTTTCCTCTCTGGGTAAGAACTCAGATTTCCCATCGTCCTGTTCAGAAGTGTAAGACTGAACAAATTGGCCTGTTTAATACATTATTTACAAGGGGACTCTCAATCTGTGGGCATATACCATAACCTCATCACATCCATACTATTCTTTACACATGTATAATCCCAGGATCTTGGAAAACAAACCTTTTCTTATCCTAAATCATTCGTTGCTAACAAGTACTTTGCAAGTTTAAACCATATGTCATCATGTCTTAAAGTTATTTTGAGGAGTAGCTTAAAAATAGGGCAGCCATTTTTTTAGAAAACTGTACTATAGATTGAACCCCAGGTCTTCTCACTGAGCTACAACTCTACCCCCTTTTTTTTTTTTTTTTGAGACAGAGTCTTGCTAATGTGCCCAGGCTGGCCTCAAAATTGTGATTCTCTGGCCTCAGCCTCTCAGAGTGCTGTAATTACAGATTTGTGCTACCACACTTGGCAGGAGAGTTCAGTTTCTAACTTCTCATTTATAATTGGAGTCATTTATAATCAGAGTTCTGTAAGAAATTATTCTAGATATTTCCAGGGTTTTTAATGAGAAAATAATTTTTTGTAAAGGCAAAAACTGTGATAATGACTGGGAGAAAAGAAAGGAAGTAGTTTTCCTGTGGGAAACCAGGAAAGCTGCTGCCTTTGTTCCCCTGGAAGTCTAACCATGAATCATAAAACTGGAGAAAGAACATGCGGCTGACTTACTGCAGAAGCCTGAACTGCTTGCTGTATGGGGAAGAAGAGAATCTGCCCTCTTCTGCCTTCTAAATCTCATACAAGTTCTTCTCTTTGATGGACTCTCACCTGGAGCCCTGCTGGCAAGGGATTCTGAGAAATGTGCCTCCTAAGCACCTACCCCTGCAGTGTGACAATACAGAAGAGTGTTGGGATGACACTCAGCAATAGCTAGTAAAGTAGTACAATATGCCTTTCAAAATCAAAGCACTGTCAAAATGCCTTCTTTTTCTTTAGTAGTGAAGTAAGAAAGGCATTTTTAAATTCAGAATAGACATACTGGGGAGGAGTAGGAAAACCAGGGTCCTCAGCCCTGTCTTTCCCACTTTATGGTTTTTTAACCATACACAGAACAGACAAAATAACACTGGGGCTGTGGTGCTATTTTCTTACATTAATCCAGTTACCTTTTATAAATTACACTTTGCATGACTGCTTTGGATTTAGTTGTTAAGCTTTGTTCTACAAACTTGCCTATTTTTTGCATTTTGCCTTTCTTAAATTTTTGGCTGCCTAAGATGAATTTGAACCCCAAACAGACATACTAATTTCTCACTTATGTTATAATATATCATCACAAGCTTAATGCCTTAAAACAACACAAGCGTATTCTCTTAATGTTTTGGAGGCCAGAAATCTAAAATCATTTTCACTGGGTCAAGTCAAAGGGTGGCCAGGCTGACTCTTGTGGAAGGTGATGGTGTGGTGGGCGCTGTGGTAGAATCTGTCTCAGGTCTTTTCCAGCTTTGACAGGTGGCTCCATTCCTTGACTTGATTCCTTCTTTACATCAATCCAGCTCTGGCTTCTGTCATCATAGCTCCTTCTCTGCCCAATCTCCCTCTGCTTCTCTTTTATAAGGACACTTGTGATTTCATTTAAAGACCGCCTGGAAAAGCCACAGTGATCTCTCTATTGCAAGATTCTTAATTTAATCACACCTATAAAACTCCTTCTGCCATTTAAGGAAACATTGGGGATTAGGACCTGGATATCTTTGGGGGGGTCATTATTTAGCCTTCTGCCTATATGAAAAAGATAGGTGCATTTCCTGTCAGAGACACCCTTGTTCCTGTTTTGTGACAGTACTTTCCTGCATGATATATAAGTCACCAAGCTTATCCCATCACCAACTTTGGATCTGAAATATTACAGAGAGGGCACTCTGACAACTACTGCCCTTTCTAGGGTGATCCTTAGTTATATAGTGTTAAGACCTTCAACTTGCTAAGCTGAGAGTGCGGGGGTGCTATGGATGTGTGAAAACACACACACACACACACACACACACACACCTCTTAATTCTTTAAAATGACTTATCCTAGTTTCTCTCAAAAGAGGTATCATCTCTTTTCCTTTTTTATTTAAAAATTTAAAAACTGACAAAACAACAATGAAGACAAAATCAAAACAACACAAAAACAACAAAAAGTAATACATAACCTCAAAACAAAATGATAGAAATTTACAATGGTTGCTATATTACGTACTGTTATCTTCAACGAAGTTGCTCAGTCCATTAGACATAAGAATGTAAGATTAATCAAACAGAGACAGTAACAAGTAAAAAAAAATAAAAATAATTAAAAAAAAACATTGGAAATGATGCAGAGCTTCACCATACAAAATGGTAGGAGTTCAACAATGGTTCTTATATTGCACATTATTATTTTCAGATTAATCATTCTGATTACCAAATTCAAGCGTGTAAAATTGGTCAAGAAAAAAGAAAATTTGAAGCATTGACTATTCCTCTCAATAAACTACAGACATCAGCAGTACACCTATTAAACTCTTTCTTCAGCTTCTGGTTGATTCTTGACTCAAATCCCTTGATACACAGAATGTCAAGTCTTTCTTTTTGGTTTGCTCAAGCGAAGTCTGCAAGCATGTGTTCACGACAGGACTGGAGCCTGGTCCTGGCCTTTTGCTCACTGAGGACTGGAATGTGTCTTCTCACTTCACATTTTTGGATCTTGCTTGGCCTAACTGACCTCTGTTTTCCCAAGGTAGTAGGATTTTCTATGTGCTTTTTACATGCTGGTTGATAGTTTTTATGGCTCTTTTGTCAGGGATAATGATACCTGTGTGAAACCTCAATCACAAAGACAAAAGAGTTGGGTCACTGTGAATCTTTCTATCAACTGACCATTGTTTTCACTCAGATTACATTGGAAGCCTCTTTACTGTAGTAGGATTTTGCTTCAGAAATAGATGATCACACAGAGTAGTGAGAGTGTGCAGGAATTGCCAGTGGACAGTGGCAAATGGCCAGATAGTCCCTCTATTCTGGGATATATATTTGTCTACTTTGTTTGAACAGATAGAGAATTGATGTTCTGGAAATCCAAGTTAAATTATGTAAACAGTCTATACGTAGACTAAAAAGACTGAAAAACTAACTAGAATTAATTAAAATTACTAAGCAGTTTTCTGCACAAAATTCTTGCATCTTACTATGAGGTGTGAAAGAAAAACATGGTGTGTATATTAATGAAAAAATTAACACAGTAAAAGATGCATTGCCACCCCCCTCAAAATAAGTCCTTTTGCTTCCAGCACACTTATCTTATCCTTCTTGTCTCTTTCTAAAGCAGTTCTGGAAGTTCTTTTATGTGAATGTCTTTAGTTGCGCTGTTGCCCCTACTTCCTGAATGGATTAAAAATGTTTACCTTTCAAGGTGATTTTGCCTTTGGGGAAGATCCAGCGGTCCTGAAGTCTGGATCCACGGAATAAGGTGGACAAGGTCACACCATGATGTTTTCATGAGCCTGACTTTCCATTGGCTGGCACATGGCAGCAGCTTTCACCATATTTTTTTGTCACACTTCATAAAGATATGAAAGAGAACTTCCAGAAGTTCTTCAGAAAGCGGCAAGACTTAGCCAGCCTAGGTGGTGTACGCCTGTAGTCCCAGCACCCCGGAGGCTGAGGCAGGAGGATTGTTGTGAATTCCAGGCCAGCCTGGGCTACAAAATGAGTTTAAAGCCAGCCTGAACTACAGAGTGAGACCCTGTCTCAAAAAAAAAAAAAAAGTAGCAAGAAGGATGGGACATATTTTAAATGAGAGGGTAGTATTTTGAGGCAGACTAAGACAATGTGCTTTTTAACTGTAATAAATGTTTCTTTAATCAAAAATAAAACTTCATACAAGGTAATAAGAGATTAACAATAGTTAATAGACTGTGTCATTGTCTTCAAAGCAGTTACTCAGAATATGACATTTGCAAAAAAGATTCCTACAAAGAAGAAGCAAACATGTATTAGTACAAAGCTTTCTTTTCAATGAACTAAGAGAAACTAGTAGTATAAATGAAAAGAATTAGCATATATATTAAAATATTTTGAAACAACAGAATAGGTAATTTTGGGGAACCATCTGAACGTCTCTATTTTTCAATCACTCCCTGTATTTTACTACTGAAAACAGACTACAGTAACCTACTCATCTTGGGTAAAATTGCTTATTTTCTAGGGTAGTGAACTTATTCCATAGTTGTTTTGATCAGCAAGTTTTATTTTTGCTTCTACCTGGAATAGAGTAGACGAAGATTTATGTCAACACTTCACAAAGCTGAGTAAAGGACAATATCAAGAAACACTTGAAAGGAAGATTTGTTTCCTATTCATTGGGAGTAATTGAGGTGACAAAAATCTCCTATCAACAGTTCCTTCCTAAACTAAAGCTTGGGCTGGAGTAAAAGTATGTTAACACAGCCTTCTCGGTTCTATCGTCATGAGTTCCAATTTTCCCCTAATTTTTTTTTTCATGTTATAGCCAAGTGATGTTCAGGCAATGCCAGCTCTGGCCTCCCAGCGTATTCTCGGTGTTTGGTTGTAACACCGGGTTACAGTTGTATAAAGTGCTGGCAGCTAACATTACACTCTTTGATACAAAATTCTCCATTCCATCCTGCAAATTATCCCGAGCTAAAGGCATGGCAGGGTCACTTAGGTGCGCACCTCCCTTGCTAAAGCAATTTTTAAGAGCCAAGAAGAAATGGCTTCAATTTGAAATTACAGGGATGATTTCCTTTGTTCTAGGAAGTAGTCGGCTGTTGAGGAGTGACCCCTTATTTACACAGGAAGTTTCTAACAATAGAACTTGATTCTGCTATTAGGCCTCCTCTTTCTCATTTATTCTAAGAGATTTTGAAATTCAACAAGAAAAGAGCAGAACTGTACAAAAGCAGGATGTCTTGAAGATGCTATTGATACAACGATTAACCTTTAGAACGGGGCATCCCTACGTCAGGCCTCTGTGCTTAAAGTCTGTTTACAAAAGAAAGCATTAATCAAGACATACGAATCCATTTATAACATCTCAGCCCTGGCGCTGACTCCAGAGCGAGCCACAGAGTGAGACAGTGAAGCCTGACAGCTAATTTAAAGCCAAGGTCTTCCCTGTCCAGCGATTCATCAGAGTCAACCAGCCAGTATCTTTTATGACTTACACCTTCTCCTTTTTCGGAGGTAGTAAATGGAAAAGACAGGAAAAGGAGGTTCCATCCATGGCAGCTGTGTAAAATCACATAAACACCATGGCCTGGGATTTCATTATAACACCTCCTTCTTAGCTAATTACTGTCAGCATTAAATTACGGAGTCAGGAGGCCCCACTCAATACCAATTCATTCATTTTAGGTCACAGTTTGGCAGAAAACCTGCAGCGAAAGGCCAAATCTTTATCCACTAAGCCTTTTATTTGTGACTAAACAAAAGTCTTGACAAGTAGTATAATTTGCGTCAAGCAGGGCTACACCAAAGGCCAATTAATAGTTTTTTTTTAAATAAAGATTTGCTCTAGCGTCTAGTCTACTTGACAGGATTTATGATTTTGCATATCAAAAAACTCAGAAGCTCATAGGCTATTTCTTCCTCAGTTCAAGCACTGTATCTTTTACTATTATCAGTCTCCCAAGCAAGGGGTAACATGATATTTTTAGAAAAATAGATCAGAGTGTTTGTCTTACAATACTGTGATAGAGAAGCAAAATTTTGGGTTTTTTTTTTTTGTTTTGTTTTTTTTTTTTAAATCCTAAGCCTTTGAAATCCATTCTTACACACACACATGCAGGTGGTCAGACCAAAATGTGCTTTTAAGACACGCAGAAATGTTATAATTGCCTTAGGTACTTTCTGGGATAAAAAGATATACAAAACTACTAACCTTTCAAGGGGGTTAATTTTCTTTTTCTTACCATCTAGCTGCTATTGAAATAGTTTATTTAGGAAAAAGAAATCAAATGTACTACAGCTCTATATATATGGTTGGCGGTTTGATATAGATTTTTAAACTGATGTTCTGATCATGAAGAAGTAAGACTGAAGTGACACATTTAAAATCATCATCTCTTAAACTCACGCAGGTAGAATGATGTTATTAATCCACAAGAATCAATTTCTTCAGATCAGCTTTGTGTAAGTTTTAGGACATAAAAGATATGCTTTTGGTGAAAACACTTGTTATTTTGAGTGAAATGCTACCAAAACCCAATTAGATGTGAAGAGAATAATAACTGAAAATTCATTGGATGGGCTTGACACTAGAAGAAGAAAGGGCTAGCCAATGAGGAGATAGCAATGCAAATTAACTAATCTTAAAAACAGAACAAAACTCATGAAAATATGATAAAGAAAAATAACCCTAATTATGCCAGAGTGTGGAGCAGGCATCTTCTCGCACGTGACTCCATTGACCTACTTCTCATGAGGACATTGTTTTAGGGATAATCCCATGTCACAGAGCAGGGTTAACTTTTTCTTTTTTCCTTTTTTGGTTCTGGGCATTTGGTCCTAGGGCCTTGTATAGGCTAGGCACGCATTGTGTGCCGAAGCTAACTCCCTACCTCACAGACAATAGCATCAAGCTACTAGGTGAAGTTAAATATCTTGCAGTTAAGAGCATTGAAGCACAGGTGTTCTGTCTTGGAGACCACTGACCTTTCTGCTAAACACTACCCCCAAGAGCAGGGGATTACCTGCTGTGGAAGATGAGGTCTCTGTTGAGTTCAACCTTGCTATTAACAGTGGCTAATGTTTGTACACAGCACCCCACCTCAGTTTCTGAAAAGACAGTCTGTTCTTTGTTAATCACCCATCCAAGAATTTTTGTTCATTGCTTGGGCTGTGTTGGTAGTATTTACATGTGTGAACATACAATGCAACAAACAAATGATGCACTCAGGGTGTCGCTCCCATCTGCCCCTAGTCTTTTCTTTCATCTAATTTAGAATGACACATAAAGGCCTGAGACATCCTTATACAGTGGAAATTTCTAATTCAGGGTTTAACTGAAGTGAGTGAATGTGGAAATGTAGTCCCTGGAGGATGTTAGATCCCTGAGATGGCAGGGATTGGAGTATGGTTGTGACATTTTCAATACAAATATCTTACAGCAGTTTCAAACTTTTTTTTTTTTTTTTTGCATCAGGAATCGAACTCAAGACCTTGCACTTGCCAGGCAGGCACTTGTGCAGCTGAGCTATATCCCTGGTCCCCTTACGGCAGTTTCCGCAGCTTCACTTCCTGCCTGTCCTCTTTCAGGGCCCAGCAAAAGGTAACCTTTCAATTAAGATGGATTCTACAACTGCAAAACGGTTGCTAATAAAGCATCTGTTTTACAGATATGTTTTGTACCTGTATTTTTTTAACAAAGACTCAGTCAGAATAGGGTGCCGTTCGGTAGGACTTCCAAAGTGCCTGATGCTGTGTGGGATACTCGGGGAGGAGTCAGTGTTGAATATGACAGTCTAGTCTTTCACTCCAAACAAACGAAGTTTGTTGAGAAGTTGAGAAGCGACCAGATGTTCACAGGATATGCGCCGCAGTAAAAAGTGCACAGTATAGAGAAGAGGTACAGGGGGGTGTGAGCAATTAGGAATGGGAGTTAGGGCAGGCTTTCAGGGAGTGTACCTGCTAAATAGACTAAACCGCAAGTTCAGAAACAGGCAAGAGGATACGCAACAACAAAGCCAAACTGCCATGGATACACAGTCATACAAGGGGCAGAAAGCCTGGGCAGACGGGCAGATGGATGTCATGAAGAGAGTCTTAGACAGTGGAGTTTAGATACGTTTGAGGCCATGGGGAGCAACTGAAGAGCTTTCACATGGGGACACCAGGCTCAGATTTGTGTTCGGGAAGCATCGTTCCACAGTGTGGAAACAGGTTTCAGAGTGGCTAAGGTAGAAGAATGGAGACCGGTGACGCTGTCCTATCAGCTTCTCTTGAAGCACACAGATAGATTAAAAAGGCACTAGAAATCTTCAACGCTTCCTAAGTTTGGTGGCGGCACTGCTGTTACAATAGAATATTTATACAGTCAGTGCCTAAAGTGAGTGATCTAGATCTTTAACTGGATGCCCCAGGAAAAAAGATGGCAAGGTGGAGGGGTGTGCATAGGAAGTACATTCAGAAGTGCTCTTAGCATCACCACCCTAGGGGAGTAAGGGAGCAGGACTTGGCAGAAGGAGGAATTGAGCTGTGATGCAGGCACACCAGCAGCCTCAGCTTGCCAGTGGAGAGCTCAGGATCTGGATGGCTGTGAAAGGCAGGGGGCTGGGTGCTTACACCACTGTGGTCAGTCCCTGGATATGGTCTGTCTCAGGAGATGGGAGAGACTTCTAGGCTCTGTAATTCTAGAAGTGGGACTCCACTGACTGCATCTGCAGAGTCCGTGGTCTGGTAACTGGGGGCCGGGTCTGTGAGTGCTCACAGAAGTGCCCCAGGTGTAGTGAGGTGTCCACCACCATTAAGCCTGGTCACCTGGTCTTCTGGTACAGTTGGCCTCCACCCCAAATTTAACATTAAGCAGTTTTATTTACTGCAAAGCAAACACCCATTTTACTGTCTGTCTCCTGCCCATGGAATATATGCCCCGGGGCCTTTACTATCTTGTTTCACTGCTGTATTCTTTTACACCCAGAATAATTACTGGGCACATAGTAGATGTTCAATCAGTAGTTGATGAATGAATAAATAAAAACTAGATTGAAGGAATGGGTATTGGAAGAATTTGAATTTTTTCAGATAAGAGATCCTGAAGGAATTTTTATCTTTTGCTTTTGACATTGGTGAGAATCAAGTCCAGGAAAAGAGTTTGCATCTCCCCCTCTTTTACAGGGTCCAGTCACCTGCAGAGAACCGCTGAGGACGCTCTTGATCACGAAGACATATATGCCTCTGAGAAGAGCTTAGCTTGGAAATCTGAGGGCTTTTATTATTGAGGGAAAAAAAAATCCCAGTTATCTTAGAGGAACATAAATTATCCATTGCGGAGACTTACGGAATTTTAGCATGAAAATACTGAGTGGAATTTGTGTGGACTCGACAAGCTTCTCCTCTATAATCAGCTAAACCATTTTATTTCAGATAGTAACAAACTGAAAAATGTAGTAATTTTCATGTTTGAAGGGGAAAAGGCATTTAGCACAGCTTGAAGATTCAAATTATTCTGGAAACAACGTGCTTTACTTGGCTTTAATTTGAGCTTGAGCTCTTCCACACAGGTTTAGACTCCAGCCTCCCGACAGCTGCTGCCATCACACGGGCCTGTGGACGGCTGGGTGTCGGGCATGGAGCCCTGTCTGCCCTTCCTTTATCCTCCTCTGCCTGCTTCCTTCCTTCCAGTATGCCTCATATAGCAACCCCAGTCCAGGAAGTACTCGTCTTTAGTCAGTCTGTGGAAGGTATTTATTCATCACTAGCCAGGAACAAATAGATAGATAGTGTCACTCTTACTCATATTTAGATGTTTAAATTCTTTTAGTAGAATGTTGGGTCCTTTGATTCCATTAAGAGAGCCCGAGAGCAGATAGGACAGCGTCAAGTAATTATTAAAGGTGAGCATAGAAGGCAGATCCCCCTCAGCTTCAAGCACCTGAAAGAGAGCATAAAGAACCCCTGAGTAGAATCTGAGGAAATCTATGTGGAAATTTAGCTTTGCTTTAGGCAGTCTCATGGTTTCATAGAGTGACTCTCCACAATTCTGTGTCATCAGCTGCTTTCTTGTCATAAATTCTGTATTTTAAAAATTTTAAGTGTTACTCACTTTAAATCCAACCTTTCCTTTGGCCTTCCCATCTGGGTAGTGACTTATATCTGAGACTTTGGGGTCACACACCAGTCTCCTTCTTGTACATCTTTCTCCCATCCTTGAGCTGTTTTGTTAAAAATTAAAATATTATAATCATTTACTGAGTCTTCAGTTCTTTAAAATTAAAGTTCTGCACTCACACAGTTTAAAAGCCAAGTGGTTTTGCAAGGCTAATTGTAGAAAAGGAAGTCTCCTCCACCCCTATTTCTTCTTCTTTTTGGGCATTTGGTGAATATCACCATATTTCTAAAGAGTAGGTCTAGTTCTCGAAGAGAATTCTAGTTCTTGATTTTTCAGGCTTGCATATGATTTATTACTTCTAAGTAAAAAGAGGAGAATTTTTCTCTTTTTATCTCACCCATTTCCTTCCTCATCTTTCCCCTGATTGTACTGTAACTCAGATCAATGAGTTATCAGGCTTACGTGATTATGAGTGGTCAGAGCACAGGTACACAGTATGCCTTTTCCCTCATGTCTTCAGTTTTCTAGATTTTATTATTGTGATTAGGGCACTTTTTGTTTGTGTGTGCATTTTCTTTGCCTTCTTCTCCAACTTTTATTTTTCTAGCTTTCATAATTACAATGTCTTTTTGTGGGTGTGTGCATTTTCTCTGTTTCCATAAACATACTTGTCATTGATTCAACCCCAAGCTCATCCACGTTTCTCCAGGTCTCTTGTTAGTTTTTATTTAGATGCATCAGGTAATTTATTAATTTTATCCTTTTGAAGAAATACTCTTTCGTGGTAAGAGAAGGATAGGGAAAAACCAGGAGGGGTGAGGAAATAAAGGATATTTAAGGACCTAAAGGACCAAATGGCAGAGAGCAGAGAGGGGAACAGTAGCAGGCAGCATGGCTAAGAGTTAGGCTGATGCTAAGGAAACCTGACCTGCTCCCATCCTAGGCTGACCAGGGGCCTCTCTATACCACCCCCTTGCTATGCTTTGCACCTGCTAAGAATGTATAATAAGGCCCAGTGAACATAGCTGCACCCCGTAACTCCCATCATTATTCAGCCCTGCTATTGATAACAACCACTACTCCCTGTGCTTTCCCAAGCCTTATCCTTGGGCTGCAATTACTCCCTGTCGAGTGCTTTCTCCTCTGCAGGAAGCTACAAGTCCCTTTCACTGAACTCTCCCCTCTTGACCCTACAGAAGACCTCATGCCCTGTATGAGAGTAGCCAGTCTGGTCTCAGGGCCAGAACAATCCCTCTAAGGTTTATTCTGAAATAAACCTGTCTTATTGAGCTCATATCTTTCATTTTTTTCCCTGCTTTTTTCCTAACAGGACCTATATCAAGCAAGGCCTTGTCCACTTTAAGGAATTCAGGGCTTTACCATAAGACTAAGTAAAAGTCCCTGGAGTGGCGTGATTGGGAGGACATATGACTAGATTTATAGTTTTCATGGTCACTCAAGCTGCAGCATGTAGGATACACTAGGGTGGCCCAGAATGGAAGCAGATACAATTCACACATATGGGACATGGTGGTAGCTTGAATTCAGATGATCATAATGGAGAAAGGGAAAACTATCTGAGAAATGTTTAGGAGGTAAAATTCATAGGATTAGAAGAAATGGGTATGTCTGGTAAAGGAGAAGGAGGAATCAGGAAAGATTAGTAAGTGTCTGGCTTGTTCAACTAGGTGAATCTTGAGAATAAGTTTTGGGGCCAGGGATATAGCTCAGTGGCACAGTGCTTCCCTGGTAAGCATGAGGTCATGAGTTTGATTCCCGGTATCAAAAAAAAAAAAAAGATTTTTGCTGGGGATTTAGCTCGGCGGCACAGCACCTGCCTGGCAAGCGTGAGGTCATGAGTTCGATCCCTAGTACCGGAAAAAAACCAAAAAAAAAAAAGAACAAGTTTTGAGGGGAGCAATTTGAGACAGGGTCTCACTGTGTGGCCCAGGCTGGCCTTGAACTCATGACAGCTGTCTTACCTCAGCCTCCCAAGTTCTGGGCTTATAGGTATGTGCCACCCCATCCGCATCCAATTTTAGGTCGTTAAAGAGTAATATAAGACAGAGCGTGCTGCTCTGTGTGGGTGTTTCTCTGGTACTCTCCAGCTTGGGGAGGGAAAGTGTATGCTTTAGTCATCTCTCTGTGTGCAGCCACTGTCTCCCAAGCACACCCAGCCCTGGG